GCTTTTGCAGTCGGCAACTCCCTCAGACTCGGGGTCTAGACTTAGCTCACCTGCATTCGACCTTCGAGGCCGAACTAGCTAGGACTTTCAGTTTCACTTTATTTGAGGGAAATATAGGTGTTGAACCTTTGAACTCCCTACTTGTTACAAGGAAGCGAACTATATAAAAAATTTGAAAATGGAAACATCAAACAGCTTCAGAGTTTCTTCGGATTGGCAAAGTTTTCGAAACCAGACAGATGAACGAATTGTTCCAAGAGTTAAAAACATTAATGTTACTAAATGTGCTGTACAGTAGTCTATGGATAATTGGCGCTATCTCAGTTTGTAGGGGAGACGAATTGAATGCCAACACGCATTCGACAGACATGGGACAATAATAAAAAAACAAACGTTACTGACATACAGGCAGTAATATAACAACATTAATAATATGTTAGAGCGAAATGCTAGACTATGTCGGTCAGGTGACATTATGACGTTTAGTGGTACACTGGTCCCATTTGCGCTTAAAAGCCTCGACGGAGGTGGACACGACGACTTGTCTTTCTTTGCGTCTCTTTGCTCTGTTGGTAACACTTTTGTCTACCTGTTGTATTGTGAATCCGGTGAGGGAATCGACAATTAGCCCGCAGGTCCATTTCAACCAGTGCGATTTGCTCCCTCACGGTTATGTCACCCCGCCAATCTTCGTCCTTTTGTTTGATAATATTTCCACCATCCCTCAAATATGGGTCGTGGCTCTGTAACGCTAGACAGAACAGGCGCCGCAGTGGCTCATGGCTGCGCTGAGTGTTGCGAGCCAGACGATGTTTATCGCACACCAATCTAGCCACCAGTCGACCAACACACCCAGGCTGGTCACTGACAAATAGGCGAGGAAGGAGTGTGAGGTGAATCCCGCGTATGCGTTTCTCTCTGTTGTAAAGAAGACAAAGGCGCCCTCACTGAGAGCGGTAGCTTTATTGGTCTGAGCTTTCCAACTCGAAGTGGAGTTCATCATCAGAGACTGTCGGAGTGCAGCAACGTGTGAACGTTTATATACAGTCGTACCGTGAGGGTGGGGAAGGAGGAGGAGGTTACGTCCGTGGCTAGGTCTGCTTCGCGTCCCCTGGTCCCCAATGGTCTCACGGCGTAGTGACGGCGTTTGTCTTTGGGGCGCATTAATTGCTACCGCTGGACGAGGACCACTCGTTGACTTTGTCGACTCCTTCGGCGACCCAACTTTTAACGATATCAGCGGAGATGCCCTGGGCTCCTCCACTAACCTGTCCCCCGGGGGTGATGATCAGTATTTCAGCCGAGTGGTGTGGCTCACGGCCGTAATCTCTCCCCTCCCCCTGCCCGCACGGACCAACGATATAATGTTCTCACGTTGCTGCACTCTAGCAGTCTCTGATGATGAGCTCTACCTCGAGCTCGAAAACTCAGGCTAATAAAACCACCCTCCCGGTGATTGCGCCTTTGTTTTCCCCTCAACAAGCACCTGGGCCGGCCGTATCCTAGCTGCGCACACGAGATCCCAGCCGCTCTTATTGTAACTCTCTGCATATGATGGTGTGTTCAGACGAGAAATTTAGCCCTCTCTGTCTCTGTGCCCACCCCCGGTTATCTTGACCTTGTCTTCTCATCGAAACACAGTGAACATGGGACGAGTGAGTAGTGCAGATGCAAGTCTGCCTTGCTACAAACAGCCTGACTTGCAGACCACCAGTACACCCACCTGGTGCGACAGTGACGAACTTAGTCGCTTGTGATGGTTAAGCTATCGCCTTCCGATAGTCTTGTTACCGTTATGTCCGGTTATAACCCATCCATCTTTTTCTCCTCATGCATTCGCAGAACCTGATCCCACAAGACGCGGTGATTCAAGATGCTGGGAAATCTTGCTCTGGGATCCAAAGAATTTTAACGACGGCGATGCCAAGTCTCAGGAAGCCCGTAGGTTTCTTGTTTGATCCTTTTTCTCTTCTTCAGGCTCTCTGTTACTTCCTGTCTCATGTAAAGTGTTATTTTTAATTGGCCAGACAAGTCTACACTGGTTTTACGTTCCGTTTTTTTTTTTCTGAAGTTTCTCGCCTCATGACCATTGCGTGCTCCCCTGCGGTGCGTACCTGCGGTCTGAACATGGAGTACACGTTCCACCTTCTCTGCAAATTCAAGGGCAACATGGAGCAAAGTTTGCGTGCGCTTCTGCAGGAATCCTTCATTGTGTTGGATAACGTTTACGCTGGTGAGTCTGCCGACCCCCGTTCTCGAGCGATTGTTTTAGCGAGAGGAGGCTTGGAGATATCGCCATTCTTCAGATCCAAACTCCCTTCCGTTTAGAATTTCCTTGGTCATCTGGTGTCGTTTCGCTGGCAGCTTGCCCGCCTCTCAACATGGCAACAAAATAGTAAGCAGCCACTGGGGAATGGGTCTCTCCTCCAGATGACCCAATTGACCTGCATATTTGTAAAAGCCAGTCAGCACACAGAATCTGGCGGATAGCAGCCAAATGCACATGGCGCACACGATTAGCCTGCACACTGTGACCACTGGTCGGCGTACAACGCCGATTGCCAAATCGCAAAAAAGGAGCTCTCTCGAATGGAAGAGAATGTGCGCATCCCAGGTTCTTGTTTAAAAGAAGACGAAGGCACGATCACTGGGACGGTAGATTTATTGGCCTCAGCTTTCGAACTCGAACTGGAGTTCATCATCGGAGGCTGCTAGAGTGCAGCAACGTGTGAATGTTTATATCGTTGTTTCGTGAGGGGAGGTGGGACTACATCCGTGACTAGGTCTGGTTTGTGCCGCCGTTCTTTGTTAATTGGTCCTGGAGTTGCCGGGACCAATGAACGGCTACCTCAACCATTTCGCACTCCCTACCGTACATAAAGAATGTGTCCGAGGCTACAGAATGCATTGCGTCGGACCAAGGCGTGGGCATCGCTCATTATTCGGCGGCTACCATGCATAACAGGATCATAAAAAATGAAGAATCGGCTGGACGCAGGTGAACAGTCGGGCGTAGTCTATCAAATCCCGTGCCAAAACTGTCCTTGTCACTATACAGGCCAAACAGGACGACGTCTCAGCTCACGAATACTTGAGCACAAACGGGCCGCTGGAGGAAGACCATGAGTTCGACTTCACCAACACGCGGATAGTGGCGCGAGCCGACGGGGCGAGAACTGTTAGAGGCTTGGGTGTCGGACACCAACTCTATCAAACGACACATTGATTTGCCTGCGTGTTATTGTGGCGGTCAAGGATGTGAGATCGACTTAAACCACGCACAATAAAATCGTTTCGTCTACTGTCAGAAGTCAGGGATCTGTGTGGACTAGTTTATTCTGTACACAGGGCAGGTTGCCGTAAGTTGGCGGTTTGCTTGCAACAGAGAAGAGCGTCCGTTCACGGAGAGCGTCAGTCACGGTGTGTAGTTTACGCGGGAGTGAAAGTCTGTGTCAGAAGGTGGGGGTAACTGGTTGGATGCTGATCATGAGATTGGATGGATTAGGGGAGGATTAGGGGGAAGCATAATTACAGGGGCTCACGGGTATCAAGCCCGGTCGTCCGACGCGCATGAGGTGATAACTGTTTGTGGGGGCAGTCGGGGGTCACTGCAGCTGGGCCGGAGGGGGGGCCCAGTTATAATCGGCGGGGGTGGTTGTGTGTCAGCGGCCTGGCAACGATTGTCGCGGCCATCGACCGACAAAACGGAGCCGGAGAATAGGGGGACTGGAGCGGCTGCTACAACTCCCCCCCAGACACCAAACGGAGTGAAGGCGTCGACATGCTAGCCAGCAACAAACCTGTCGGGCCAGTGGACGTGACGACCAGATCGTGTGCGGCGAACCGGAGGGGGGCTGTCGCCAGTAGGTGGAGGCAGCACTGTTTGCGGCGGGGTACAGTGTTGGGGTGAGGAATAGTCACTGTCGTCGATGAACGCCGGCTTGACGCGATCAATGCTGACTGTGTCGGTCTTGCCGTTGCGGTCGATGACAACATCTTTGTCAGATCGACGAAGGACTCTGTACGGCCCGTCATAGGGTGGTTGGAGTGGTCGTCGGACAGCGTCATGCCGAACCAAGACGAAATCGCACTTATCCAGGTCGGAAGGGATGAAGGAATTGGCCGGTGACGCCCGAGGGGGCGTTGCGCGGAGATTGCGCATGACACTACGCAGCTGCTCCACATAACTGCAAGGCTCAAAAAACGTTAGCATGTTTGAAGGGGACACTAACTCACCGGGCAGTCGTGGGGAGGTTCCGTAGACAAGATCAGCCGCAGTGCAACCAATGTCGGCCTTGAGAGTGGAACGGAGGGACAAAAGCACCAGGGGAAGGTGATCAGACCACCGGGAAGGATCGGGCTGGGCCATAAGGGAAGTTTTGAGCTGTCGATAGAAGCGTTCGACGAGACCATTTGCTTGAGGGTGGTACGCTGTTGTTCGGATTCGGTTGGTACCGAGAAGGGATGTGAGTTCGCGAAACAGCGTGGACTCGAATTGCGATCCGCGGTCAGTGGTGACAGTCGCAGGAACTCCAAAATTGGACACCCAATGAGTCAAGAAAGCTTTCGCAACGGTTTCAGCACTGATGTCCGGAATGGGCGCAGCAACCGGCCACCGAGTAAAGCGATCAATACATGTCAGCATATAGGTAGAACCGTTAGATGGTGGCAGCGGACCTACCAGGTCAATATGCACATGACTGAAGCGTGCATCAGGAGTGGCGAAAGTTCCTGGCGGAGTAATGGTATGCCGATGCGTTTTGGCTCGTTGACATGGTAGACAGGAGCGGGTCCAACGCCGTACATCCCGGTTGATGTTGGGCCAGACGAATCGGTCAGTGATGAGTTTCACTGTCGCCCGGACTCCAGGGTGGGATAGATTGTGAAGGGCGTTGAACACTCGTCGTCGTAAAGTTGCTGGAACAAAAGGACGTTCGTGTCCGGTAGAAAGGTCACACGTGATGGTGCCAATGCCAGTGGGAAGGGGGACATCTTGAAGGCGTAAAGAAGAGTCCTTGTGGCGGTATTGGGGAAGTTCGCCATCTGATCGTTGAGCCTCAGCCATAAGCGTGAAGTCTATGGCGTCTGTTGTGATGGAAGCCATCTCGATTCTTGAAAGAGCATCAGCAACCACATTTTCCTTACCGTGGACATGTTGGATGTCGCAGGAAAACTGGGAGATGAAGTCGAGATGACGGATTTCACGGGGCGAGTATCGATCGGGAGAGGCCCTCAGTGCGAAAACGAGTGGCTTGTGATCTGTGAGAACAACAAATTCACGACCCTCAAGGAAATGGCGGAAGTGCCGGATGGATAGATAGACGGCAAGGAGTTCTCGGCCGAAGACACTGTAGCGGGTCTCTGCTGGGCTGAGCTTCTTCGAGAAGAAAGCCAAAGGCTGTAGAACACCACGAACAGTTTGCTGAAGTGACGCACCAACGGCAGTGCTGGAAGCATCTGTCATGAGAGTTAGTTGGGCATCTGAGCGAGGATGGGCAAGCAATGTTGCGTCCGCAAGTGCGGCCTTGACGTCATTGAAGGACCTGACGGCCTCCTCGGTCATCACTAGTGTCTTCTTGGAGTGGGTCAGCAAGCTGTTGAGAGGCTGCAGTATGGTGGCACCATGGGGAAGAAAACGGTGATAGTAGTTCACCATTCCCAAGAATCGGCGTAGTTGGTTGATGGTTGTCGGGACGGGGAACGCTGATATGGCCGAAACTTTTTCTGGGACGGGCCTTATGCCATCTGAGTTCACTTCGTGACCAAGGAAGATAAGGCTGGGGACTCCAAACTCGCATTTAGCAGCATTGATTACAACGCCGAAAGAGTCAAGCCGTTCGAAGAGTTGTCGAAGATGAATCTCATGTTCAGCAGCGTCAGAACTAGCCACTAGCAAATCATCAATGTAGGCGTAGACGAAGTCGAGACCTCGCAGAACCTGATCAATGAATCGCTGAAAGGTTTGAGTGGCGTTCCTCAGACCAAAGGGCATACGAGTAAATTCGAATAACCCAAAGGGAGTGGTCACTGCGGTTTTCGGCACATCACTGGCTTCGATTGGGATTTGGTGGTAGGCACGCACAAGGTCAATCTTGGAGAATATTCGCTTACCATGTAGCGAAAGAGTGAAGTCTTGGATGTGCGGGACGGGATACTGGTCGGGGACCGTCGCTGAGTTCAACGCCCGATAGTCACCACACGGTCGCCAGTCGCCGCTCTTCTTTGGAACAAGATGGAGGGGTGATGCCCAGCAGCTGTCGGACTGTCGGATGATGCCGAGCTCAAGCATGTGATCGAACTCTGCCTTGGCAATCTTCAAACGGTCCGGAGCAAGACGACGTGGTCGGCAAGATTTGGGAGGTCCATTGGTGGAAATGTGGTGGGTGACTGTGTGTTTGATGTCCACTTCACGAAATGAGGGGTTGGTTAGGCGGGGAAACTGCCTGAGGAGTGAGTGGAAAGGACAGTCAGAGATGGGCATAACAGTGAGAGGGTTGACGTAGGGGTTCACATCGGATTGACATCGGGCATGAAGGTCGGTGATGCAGTCGACGAGTCGGCGATTCTTCAAATCAACTAGTAGATTGAAGTGAGCTAGGAAATCGGCGCCTATGAGGGCGACGGAGACGTCGGCAATAATGAAAACCCATCGGAAAATTCGACGAAGGCCCAAATCAAGTGTGATGGAGCGCTGTCCAAAGGTGGGGATGCTGGAGTTGTTGGCAGCTGTAAGACAAAAAGAGCTCCGGGTTTTGCGTTCGGCCGGAGTTGGTGGAACCACGCTAACCTCGGCACCAGAGTCGACAAGGAATTTGGCGCCAGCGATACGGTCCCAGAGAAACAAACGGCGAGTGTGGAGATTGGTAACGCTTCCAGCAGCAGTGGACTCTACTGTCGGGTGGGATCGTCTCCCTGAGGCCGTTAGAGATGCCTTGAAAGACATGGCTGAAGAGATCGTCGAGCTGCTCCTCCAAATTGTTGGTGATACCAGCAGACGCTACTTGGAGATTGTGAACGGCGGGTGTGGGAAACGGAGGAAGTAGGGCGACGGTTTGGTGTTCGCCGCGGGCCGTTAGTGGTAGCTGCAGTAAGCTGGGCTTTCAGGCGCATTAATACTTCCTCGAGCCGATCCAAGCGTACGCCAGCTCCTTGAGAATTTGAGTTGATGAGTGACTTCTGGTCTTGGGACATCGCGCTGTAGGTTGCCGGAAGATTGTTGTTGTGGAAGAAGAGTTTGCGGAATTCCGGTGTTCGGAAATTAGGGGTCACCAATTTGTGGCGGTCAAGGATGTGAGATCGACTTAAACCACGCACAATAAAATCGTTTCGTCTACTGTCAGAAGTCAGGGATCTGTGTGGACTAGTTTATTCTGTACACAGGGCAGGTTGCCGTAAGTTGGCGGTTTGCTTGCAACAGAGAAGAGCGTCCGTTCACGGAGAGCGTCAGTCACGGTGTGTAGTTTACGCGGGAGTGAAAGTCTGTGTCAGAAGGTGGGGGTAACTGGTTGGATGCTGATCATGAGATTGGATGGATTAGGGGAGGATTAGGGGGAAGCATAATTACAGGGGCTCACGGGTATCAAGCCCGGTCGTCCGACGCGCATGAGGTGATAACTGTTTGTGGGGGCAGTCGGGGGTCACTGCAGCTGGGCCGGAGGGGGGGCCCAGTTATAATCGGCGGGGGTGGTTGTGTGTCAGCGGCCTGGCAACGATTGTCGCGGCCATCGACCGACAAAACGGAGCCGGAGAATAGGGGGACTGGAGCGGCTGCTACATTATCACGCACTGTGTCCACGCAGCCAGGTGGCGCAGATCACATCGCCGCGAAGTACAACCGGTGTCACCACGCCGGGGGACCATCGTGGACCAGGCGGCACAAACCAGACTTATCCACGGATATAGTTCCCTCTCGCACAGAACACCGATATAAATGCTCACAATTAGCTGCACTCAAGTAGTCTCTGATGATGAACTCCAGTTCGAGTTCGAAAGCTGAGGCCAATAAATCTACCGTCCCAGTGATCGTGCCTTCGTCTTCTTTTAAGGAGCTCACTAACCAGATGATGCCTCTGAAGCAACGCCGAACATTCATTCTGATCACCTAGTATTCTTAGTGCCCAATATTTTTTCCCAACTCTAGCGGAACTTTCCTTGATTACACCCCGCTAAATAAAAGCCCAGACAAATGTCTCACCGACCTTGTATGATTGCACGAGTGCAACTTTGAGGGTCTCAGTACATCGGTTTTCAGGTATATTGATCAATCGGAAAAGTAATATCCCGAACGCTTTCATTTTCAGTAATTTTGCCTAGAAGAACAAGCCAAACTTCAATGTCCATTTACGGTTTTTTGCTGCCTTCAGCTAGTCGTCACCTAGCCCCCAGCTGAATAGATCTGAAATTTAAAGTCGAACCTGGCTGATCATCAAATAACACCCGTGCAACCTTTATATGTAATACGTTGGATTACTTACCTCCCTATTGCCAAAGGACTCGGGTTCGCTTCCTAGGCTAACTAGCCAGAAATGGCAATCCTACTCCCCCTTGTCTTTGTCGGTTCTACCTTCTCTGCATATATTTATGGTCGTTATGCGACTGTCTGCGAGGGCAGGCATCCATGTTTCAACTCTAACTGACGTAACAGCTGGTTGTAGCTGAATTGGGTTTTTCATTGTAAGGCCACTTGGTTTTCAAATATCTGCCCGTTTATGTGTCCTTGTGCTAGAAACCACACCCTGGTGCACTGAGGAGATCGGCCGCTTTCAATACGCGCTCAGGCGCCATGAGAAGGACTTTCACCGTGTGAGCAAGGAGTTACAGGCCTATGGGATGGACAAGTCTGTGAAGGCCTGTGTAGAGTTTTACTACGTCTGGAAACGGATGAACACTCGACGCGAAGTTAATCGGTAGGCTCCTAGCTTTATATGCTCTTGTTCACGTTAACCCACCATCATTTTCCTTACTATCTATCCGGACCAGTTAGTGATGCAGTGGGACTCTGTTTTCGACACATGAACTTCGGTGTGTGGGACCGTTTTTTTGTTGTTACTACATAAAATCCCTTATTTTTTCGCCGACTAGTCAGTCCTAAGTCCTGCCTTATCTAGTCAGGGGCAGCGTTTCGACTGAATTCGTGTTGTACGAGTCCGCATTCAGCTTTCCCTCCAGTGAACGTGAAGACAAGGTTGCTATCTCCTGGCTTGATTTCAATTTCGAATCGAACAGCGCCTATTCTCATTCCCTTTCCTGGCTGCCTTCTTCGTTTACTAAAAAATGACTGCTGCATACAGCCCACTGGCCTCGACACTGCTTCTCCGCATGCATGCCAGACAGTTGTGAAACGGCGATCAGGGACTTTCGACGGTTAAGCCACAATCACTTTACTAGCCCATTATGTATAACTTTATGACTGACCACAGTCCAACGCCACAATGGTTGTCTTGTGGTTCGACTAAAGGGCAGGAGTGGTTGCCTTGCTGAATGCCTGACTGTAGGAAGTGATCACTTCGCTCTGGCTCTGTGACTTGCCGCACCTATTAGGGGTCCCAGAAAGTCCTGCCGAACGCGACGACCACACTCCGTTAACTGCCCTGACTGGCAGGCAGACTTAGACAATGTTCACACGGAGTTTGGTGTGTAGTCTGCCTCTGTCAGCCGTCCCGTCGCACCCTGTGGACGTAGGCTTCACATCAGTTCGGTCGTCAAGCTCAAGTTTCCTTCCAGTCGCTTTGACTTGTCCATGCGGCTGAATCGGGATGGCATTTGGAAGTCCGTGGATCCGGCCCCGCGTATGTCGCCACTGACACCGAGCTGGCGGCGGTTGTTCTCGTCGAGTTCAGCAACGAACTCTGGGGCCCCTAAAACGGGCCACGTGGTAGATGTACTGGATTAACTTAGGGGCTAGATCGGGGTCCGACAAGCGTTATCAGAAATGCACATAATAAATGCCATGTTTGGTGGCACGCCCATGTGCAGGTCCACTCCGCGCCCGTTGGGGTACGTTCCTTTCCCCCATTTTTGTTGTGGTATAACATCCTGGTCAGTGTCTGTTGTGAACTTGGGGGCGTGTAGTGGCACGTCTAGGTATAGGTTTTTGCCATGCCAGGCACCTGCGGCCTCTCCCGCCTTCAGTCTTCTGTGTACTGTCTTGGCACCGGATCCAGGTGGGGAGGGAGGAGGGGAGAGTGCGGCAGATGCTGTGCAAGTCCACTATCAGTAAAAAATTAGTCCACGCACAATTCACCGTCCCTGCTTTCGCCCTGTTCTGGAGCTCACGGTGGACATAGTAGGCAACGACGGTCGAACTGTGTCTTACCATATTTGTCCCATCGCATCCCTCAAAGGCTCCTTCCTGTCATTACGCGCTTCTCCCTTGTGATTGCTAGGTTTCGAGGACGACATGCGCGTCGAACGGTAACTAGACAGGAGGTGGTCATGGAACTGCGACAGCCTGATCTACCTGGTGCCCCGCCTCCAGTAGCTGACAGACAGCAGTTCTTTGAACTCAGCGACCCGCCAGTCCTCTCAGCCAGCGGCTATGACCTCGATGTGACCGCGCCGGCTGCTGATGGTTTGGTCATCAATGGCAACCCGGTCGGCACCACCTATAACCTCAGGAAAAAGCCCCCAAAGTGTCATACGAACACCGGTGATGACTTTTACAATTCTTCCCTGGTTGACTTCATGGCATACGTAAGTTTTTTGAGTTTGTCACTGCCATTTCATCGCACCTATTGTTAAGTGTAGAGCGTATTTGCACTGTGGGCCACAGTAACAGCAATCAGCTGTCGGCTTAAGTCCATGCCACCAGCCTGCTTTCTTAGGCGGCCAGCTAGGCAAAAAATACTGATGATCGGAAACCTTATCATCCTTTCCATCCTCTCTTTGACCCCAGTGCTTCGAAGGTCGCCAGCGACGTCTACCCCGGAAGTGCGCGCAGCACCAGTGACTAGCTTTTTTTAGTGAGGCAGCCTTCCGCAAGACCACCCACCGCACCCTGCGCTCTCATCGACTTTGGCAATGCCAACACGACCGGCGGTGGGCACGGTCACACTGTCCAGCCAAGCTAAACGGTCTGTAACGTCCCCGTCTAACGCGAGTATATTAGTCAACGAGGCCCAACAGGATAAGACGGACTAGTCATTATTTTACTGAAAGACCTATGTACTAAAAGAAACTAAGGGATGAGTCTTAATTACAAAAATAAACTGAATCTGGGTGGGGGATTGTCCACAGGGGCGATTTGGAGCACTGGGATCCACCGGAGAAGGCGACAGTGGTTCCTCGTCCGGAGAGCGGCGATCGGCCGCGGGGTTGTCGGAGGTTAGTCCTCGCCCGTATTTATAGCTTCTCCAGAACGGAAGTCGCCAAGGCTGAGTCCGCCATTGTTGATTGGTTGACGGTAGGTCGAGGGTGGAAAGTTAAACAAACTTAGGGCAGTGCTATTGCGCCTAATTTTAGGGTTATAATTTATTATATGCATGCTTTTTGTGAGAGGCCAAATTGCGACTAAGTGCCTGGCATATAAATATTGAAAAGTTCGGCGCGCGCGCCCCTTTAGGGGGCGCGCTTTCTAGAACCTTCCCCAAGATGGCGGCTGCACGTGGTCTGGCATTGTAGAACTTCCTACAGCGCGTGGCACACACGACCTAGTCCCCAACTGCCTGTGCCAGACTCTTGTGAGGACGACCTGAGTCTCACATGACTGAAAGTGCATAAAGGTCACATTGAAAAGAGGCCATGACGCAGTCCTTCAGGCCCCTCACAGTGAGGACCGAGTTTTCGCGTCAGTTGACATCCCTCCAACCCACAAGTCTTGGCGCGTCAGGTTTTTTAGGGTCGGCCCCGAACTCTCGTCCTTGTTCCCATGTGCACCATTTGATTGTCCGAGTATCTTAACCAACTGGCGACTGGATTGGGCGCAGTGGCTGACTCGACGTGGACGTCTGCCTGTAGGGTGTGCCACCACACGCATGCACGCGCCCGTTGGGGGGGGGGCATTTCTGTGGCTGACTGAATATCACTCAATCCTCCTACCGTCCCACAAATCTGATTTTCGTCGTAGCCAAGGCGGTAGAACAAAAACCGACCTGCGTTTCTTTTTGGAGGAGATCCGGTAGTTCATCTCTGTCGCAGGAGATGAGTGCAGCGACTTGCGCATGTGTCTTTTGATTGGAAAGAAAACTGATGCAACGTACGGCTCCTGGAATTTCCAAGCGGGATGTTTCGATGTTTGAAAGATAACTGACCAGCTCAACTTTTTTGCTTTTGAGACCTGAGACACGAAAACCGCCTTCAAGCAGGGAGTGTCACAGGGCCGGGTTTTGTCGTCGATGCAGAGGTGCAAGGAGGAGAGCACTTGTGTTGGCCTTTCACGATATGTCCCTAGACCCGGCCCATGGGCCAGTAGAGGCTACAATGACGACTGTTACAGCGCGAAAATAATAGTAAAAATTGGGACTTTCAACACCAAAATGCGAAATTAACCTCCTCCCCGTAAGTACCCACTCGGCCGTGGCTACCCAGACATTTTACTCCATGTTGCACAGGTCGATCCCACAACTGCCGCGAACAAGGTTTCTTTGGATCACTTCCAGAAACCGAATGCTAGCCGCTTATGCAGGCCCCAGCCTTGCGCTCTGCCTGTTGTTGCAACTTGCTGGTCGCTGTTTGTGGGCCGAGACAACTGTTTGAAGTGACAACCCAACTGTTTGCTAACGCAATCGTTTTCTACGACCTCGCAGATCCATTCGGGGTGGAACCTTGCGAAAACTTCTTAACCACCTTTGCTGCTTTCGTGCTTAGCGTGTCTGGGAAGAAGCTTTCCGGCACTGCAACTTCCTCCTGTCTAATTGGCCAACAAGGCCGATCAGGTTGGGTATCAAATACAAGTAGTCAGCATAGTCAGGATGCGTACTGTACTGCTGTCGCCTCCGGGTCGAAAGGCCGATGTTTGGAAGCCTAGTCTGTTGTGTTACCTAATACACCGTCATTATTCCACCTAATCATATCAGCCCCACGTTTCACTTTCATAGCCCTTCGGTAATCTTGCATCTCCGTTTATTCCCATGGCTGTGTCCCTTGATAACTTCTTTCTCCTTACTGACCTGCGGACTCATATAGTGGTTCAAAGTGTCCCCTCATGTTCTCGATTTTTACCACAGCAGGACCCCGCAGATTCTAGGAGCTTTGAGGACGCCTCTGCGCACTTTACTGCTGATGTCGAGGAGAATCAGGCATTCGATAGGAGGTTCAGTCTTCCTACTACCGCAGCGAGTGTTCCCGTTTCTCGTGAACCCAACCCAGTCCAGTCAAGTGACGCCGAGCAGGGATTCACTTGTCGCCTTTGTGGTCGTTGCTTTTCCAAAGTAAAGAGTCGCAATGCGCACATGAAGTCACACTCAGACCGATCACGAGCTGCCGTTTGAGTGACTAACCGTCAACTTCCTTCTTCATCTTGTGCTTTCCCCGGTTGTTCTCCCCCCCCCCTTCCCTTTCTGGGCGCACATTAAACATCGCGCAATTCGCCACAGCTTCCTGCCAAATAATTCCCTCCCTTCCCCCCCCCTCGCCTTCGTGCACATACTGACGTACACCTTCACATTACGACTACACTACTTGTGTCACCCTCGCCCCGCGATGACGTCTTTTGCTTCGGTCCTTTGCAACATCATGGACAGCTTTTGCCGCATTTTGCGTGATTTCCCGTATTCCTCGCCATCTTTAGAGTTATCAAATATGTATACATATGCATTGCCATTTTTAAATTTATCGCGCCCAGTCCAGATTTCTGATGGTCCATATGTCTTCGTCTTGTCTTTGCCATCGTCACGCCCTCCAGTCTTTCCTCAGCTGCTCCCGCACCCCCCCCCCTCGGACCTCTTTTAGGACTCCCGCTTCGAGTGTGTACAAAGCGCCATTTCATCACGAGCTCCATCCCCCTATCTATTCTTGTCATCCGCAGATCATTGCTCCTCCTTCCCTCCCCATCCACCCACAGAGACGCACCTTTTCTCACCCAGAAAAAATGTATGTGACTTCTATGATGCCAGCCCCCCCCCCTTTTTACACAAAGAAGTCAGTGCTTCGTCGGAGGAAGGACATTATTATTACTGCTACTTTTTAGTGGTGTTCTCATCCACCTATTCTTACACGTCCCAGCGCAGTTGTCGCAGGCTTACACGAGCGCCAACTTTTGATGACTATTATTTTACTGCGGAACCCGTTGCCTTGATAAATTTGTCCCCCCCCCTCTCCCTCCTTGTCGCCTATTTTCTGCGACTGATCCCACCTCGCCTGCGGCCCTCATGCTGCCGACATATTTATTTTTGACTTCTGAAATCTGCTGCCTGGGCTGTCGGCCCTGTCGAGACGGCAGATTTCAGCACTGATCCAGTTGACCTCTGCTTGCCTACCGCTTGCTCCGCTCGTGCAGGCACGCCAGCACCCCCTACATCCGCCCACCTTTTAAGCGCATATTTTTTCATTCACCCGATTGGTTGATTTTTAAATAAACTCGTACTACTTATTTAACTTTAGTAGTACTCCAATCAGTCATAGTGCCATATCAGCGTCAAATGAATGCTGGCGAAAGTGGGTACCTTGCAATGCAGGAAGCTTTGCAGTCGGAGCTTTATGAAATTTAGAAGCCGAAGTTGTAGACGTACGCTAAAGCCTGAAGCAACACGAAGTCTGAGAATGCCTCTAACAAAGGGGCTTCATATATAAAGAGGCGGTTAACAGGACTTCGTAGTTATAACTGGAGGAAATTATGTGAAATAAATGTACCAAGTACGGATGGCGGGTAGGTTCCCGATGCTGGTGAACACCGTGGTCTAAATGAATCCGCAACTTTAGGTTTCAATCGCCTACCGGCAAAGCTAGTTAGCTGTAAGAAAGTCGAGATGACTAATTTTTTGGCCGTCGGGGTCTACTAGACGTCAACATATTTAGCGTCTTTGGCATGCTCTCCCAAGTCAACGCGAGGCCCGAAGGCGAAAAATGAGGATGACCCGGTTGGCCACTGCATCCGTCGCGATCGATGATGCCCACCATTCCCCGGGGGGGAGCAGTGTTGGCTCGCACGTGGTTTAGATAACAGGGGGAGGGACTTTCGAGGCACTGAACTCGTTCATCCTGTCCACACCTGCACCGTTCCAATGGCAGAACCAGGTCAAGGTGGCCGGAGGTGACGAACAACACTTACAACGCCTAGTCCGAGTATACGCGTGTCGCACACGTGCTAGCTCCTACGCGCACGAACCGAATTCGCCAATGTCTGGATTCCATCTAACTGGTAGAGGATACACAAAAACGAACCATTGCAGCCTGACCTCAGTTGGGAAAGGCGTCCTATCGAGCCGCAACATGTAGCGCTTCGAAATATTTCAAGCGCGCTAGGTCTGCTGTAGTGCCTGAGCTACCAGACCGGCCTAGGATCACATAGGGAACAGTGGCTCGAAGTTAGAGAAAGACGCAGGTTTAGTCGACGCAGTCTACTATTGTCCAAAACTGGTTCACTCATTGAAAATCTAGCCCGTCATTAGCCACTGAACCACGGAACAGGAGGACTCGGGCAGCCGATATGTCAGAAGGAGAGACGGCGCAATCCTACCGCTTCTACTGCGCACTTTTAGAAGGGTCTTCCAATTATCCAAAAACAACTGGAATGCGGAATGCTGACACCACCACCACCAAACAAATAACTTCGTGCTTTTGTGCGAATTAAAACAGTCTGGAATCCAACGGATCTGCAAGAGCACATACATAAGAATCGGGTACAGGGGGGGGTTTGCAGCCTGCGGATGAAAAGAACCGCGAAGTCACCGGATGCAGATGCACAAGCACTCCAAGATCAGCCGGAAAAGACAAAGGGACTATTGGGTGGAGCATAGAGGGGATTGATAATTACGAGCTGTACAGAATGTCATAGTGGCCAGGTCGGTAAAGTAGGGTGATAGGAGTATCACAGGTAACACCCTCAGATGTGGTGGTGGTGGCGGCGGTGGAAGTGGCGCTGGTGCCATTCATTGCGTGGCCCTCAGTGGTAGCGGCGTCGGTGGAAGATAGGGTGGCAGGAAAGACCAGTTTGTTCAGCCCCCCCGAGACCTGACAGTTCTCAACACAGATAGGCACACCCGTGGCGAGAGCAAGAGCGGCAACGTGGACGTTGTCTGATTGTAGACCCATCGGCTCCACTTCCTACGAGAATACAAATGGCGGTAGGTGATGTGTGAAAGATGGGAGCGTTGGGTTAATGCAAAACGGGTGACGGAAGTGAGGCCCGAGGCGCTAAAGAAGATAAGGGAATTGAAGAGATGAATGCTTTGATGCTTTTTACCTTGAAGTTTCAAAGTCAAAAATGTTACATCGGTGACGGGAAGAGTAACGAGGAACTCCTCGAAACCCCTTCTTGTCAAGGCCCGGGAACGCCTACCTTTGTTCACATCAACGGAATTTTTAGAAGCTAGGACTTCAACGGATACCATACGCAAACCCATCTCAGAAAGTTGAAACACTGTTTTACCGGAATAATTTTGAACAAGGCAAAGGCGACGAAACATGCAGAATTTATTGACGTCATAAATTTCGTGACCTCTTATTTAAGCGCACGCGATCATTGCGTATTTACAAGAGAAGGCAAACTGTTCAGAGATCGACCTGGAGAGATGAAACGCGATAGGCAAGATGGAACATGGATTGCTGGTCTGGTATGGGGCTGCGCATGGCGTGGGGGGAGAAGTCATCTAAGCGCGCGAGTTCGGGTTACAGTGCGTGATTAAAACTGCAACGCACGGGAGGGCAGTTAGTCATGCTGGGGAGCGGGGGGGGGGAGTGAGAGGACGGATATGTGGATGGAGTTACGTCTATTACCGACCCTTACCACGGCAGTGCGAAGTTTATCACGTGATCCAGCTGCTTACAGAGTCCTGGTTTCGTCCTCCGTATTGCAGCGGCCTCTGCGAAGCGCAAGAGTCGTTGCCAGAAGGACCTTAAATGCAACCATTCAGTACACCGTATGGCCCGTGTCCACTAGGTGCTTCGTAATTGAGCTCCTGGGTACCTTATTCTCCACCTTTAACAGCTACTTCGGCATGTGTTCAGCTGACCCAGCTGCCTCTGCGTGCGCCCAATGTATTCGCATCCGCAACTACATGTAAACTCGTGAATACAGTTTGATGTGGCGTGCATAGGCAGAATGTCTTTAGTTGGTTTGACTGGAATGGCTGTTGTAGTGTTTATGAACAACAAGTTAGAGGCGGCATACGTGCGTTCATTTGTGCACCGAAGTCTCTCCCCCTCCTCCCCCCTCGCCATGCATAGCCCCATACCAGACCAGCAATTCATGTTTCATCTTACCTATCAGGTTTCCTCTCTCTAGGTCGATCTCTGAACAGTTTGCCTTCTCTTATAAATACGCAATGACCGCGTGCAGTTAAATAAGAGGTCACGAAATTTATGACGTCAGTAAATTCTGCATGTTTTGTCGCCCTTGCCTTGTTCAAACCTCAGAAAGCGCCTGCTAAAAAGGGTTAGTATTGTTTGCCGTGGACGGTGATGCATTCTCGAAAAAGGAACTCATGCATGATCACATGAGTGTGGGGGCCACCGACTTATCCTGATAGGTATACACGTGAGCATTACCACTTTGCCTGGTCCGAGTTCGAAGCTCGCGTACATCAGAATCTGGAGTTGGGGCATGACTGACTACGGGAAGCGAGCTAGAAATGCCCACTCCAGTGTCTGTCGTCCTTGTTGACAACACTTCTGGAAAAGCATACACCGACGTATCCCATATACCCGATGCGGGCTAGCGCTCTGTGGCTAGCAAAGGCAGTCAGATTTTTACCACGAACAGAACAAATACAAGCCGGCTTTAAAGAAAGACAAATTTCAGAGTCAAAAACGAGTCCTGCGTGTAGCACGATCATCGTAAACGGTCGGCGTCGGCTTTCAGTTTTTTTAATTGACTGACGTAGTGAAGCAAACCCTGTCAGCAAGTCAACTACACTGAAACAAACATACACTGTTTCTTGTGCTCCTTTAGATATCAATTTTTTAGGATTAACTGTCATTCAATCAGTCTCCGCGACCGTCTAAAAAGACAATAGATCGAAACCCCAGAGCAAAACAGAAGGAGCATTCGGCGAACATCACATAGCAACCAGCAAGGCGTGGGCCCTGATCCAATCTGAAGAGCATCCACTTTAATGGCCAACTATTTAGCAACAGCAAGCAAACACCAGAATCTACTTTTCAGCGGGAGTAAAAATGAGGAAGAGGGCATCACAGAGGTTGTGACTCACTGTCTCACAAAACTGCCGAACTGTCTTGCCCTCAGAAATGAAGTTGGCGTAGAAGTCAGCATGCCGCTGTATGTAAGCCGAAACGAGGAGTCTATAGGAGGGGAGATAGGGGGAGAGCAGTTAAAAGGACTTGATCGCTCCTCGTCGGCGGGTTCAAAGTTGTCTCCGGGTGACAGCGTCTGTCTGCTATCAAGGAGCCACCCGGAGCATCTAAAGATGCGGATAGTGGATCGGCACTCGGCAAAGGAAAACTGGGCCCCAGGGAGTAAATAATTGCGACCGTGCAATGGTAAGACCTGACCACGTGAATGAGCACCAATCTGGCACATCGGTTGTTCATGAAAAGGCCACAGGGTATAGTAAGATGAGTAATGACCATCATCCACAGAATTTTCCCCTTGCGCCGCCCGGCAATTATGAAACTCTATGTGATATGTGGAAACGGTGGGTGGGGATGTCCTTCTCCGAAGTAAGGTGCTACGGGCGCTTATTCCTCCACCCAACCGCCCTGTGTAAACGCTGGCGGGCAGGTCTTGACTTAACTCGGTTCTCGGATGGCCGAGTGGCTACGGTCCATGAACTCTGGCAGGATTTACCAGTGGTTAATGAGACCGAGAGGGGCAATGTCCTGCTTGGCAACAACATCCTACAGTTTGGATCCACCGATTCTGTAGCACAATTTTACGACGAAACATTATGGCGTTAATACAGTCATGTGTCAATATTTCAAATACTTTCTAGAACAATATCGTGCAATTGCACTTTTTCGGGTCTACATTACCTGGCCTATCCCATGAAATGGTAACCGAAATCCCGAAATGTGTTTTTCATTAGAATGGATTACTTGGGTGGGGTTATAAAATTGGCTGTAGTGTAACATAATCCAAAGATATTTCAGTCACGCCGGGAAGCCAACTTTTGAATACACTTTTTCTGGCCGCCTGAAGAAACTACACACAGTAAATATGACCACTTATATGCTATGAGTTTTGTTCATTAATTTTCAATAGCCTTAAAAATTCAAAAACACTTTATAGATAGCATGCACTCGCTTGATAGAAAGTTGTCTGCTTCATATGCTATGCTCGAAAAAATCGCACCTTACGGTCCAAAAAACTGTTCAAGTACCGAATACTTCTAAACTCCATCCGCAGTTGTACTTGCATTTATGGTCTCGAAACTACATGCTGTATAGGTTCCGTTAGGGAACACTAATTACCTTCCCAAGTCATTAAGAAGACGTCAAAGCGAATGTAGACCATGTTGTATACAGTAATCCCTCGTCATATCGCGCCTCGACTGCTGCGAATTTTACATGCTAGCATATCTCAAGATGTATCGTGGATTTCTATAAAAATGACCCAAATGTGATTAAACTCGCGTCGTCCGGCGAGACCTCGTAGTTCAAGTGGTTAGAGCTTTGGCTGTACTAAAGCCTTCCCCTTACTGCGTGGGTTCGAATCCCACCGAGACGCCGAGTTTTTCACAGTTGGGTCACTATGAATGCTAGCATATCTAATTATGTATCGTAGATTTCTATGGAAATGATTTTTTTCTGGTACATGCTTCCTCAGTTGGTTTGCCCACTTGACTTACACAGGGGACGCTACTGGCGGATGGCGGGAAAGTTACGCAATCAGAAGAATGCGGTTAAGTATTCTGGGCGCTGTTTGGCTCAACGAAGGAGAACAGCATTAGATACAGCTTTGTGTTAGCCATCATCTCGTATCGCTCATTCAGCTTCGATGTGTAAAGGTGTTGTGCTTATAAAATTATTTTTATTAAAAAATGTATTGTTATAATGCGTTTAAAACTGAAGTGCGTGGTATACAAATAGTGTGTTTCCATACACGACTTCAACGAATCTTACTTAACAGCCAAAAGAATATAAAGGGTTTGTGTTGTATAACTGCGTGAGAAATGTTTGTAGGGTGGGAGGGTCTATAAGGATTTAAAATATGCAAAAATAACCATAAGAATATTGCGTTTTTACTTCACAGATTTTCACTTTTCGCGGGCGGGTTCTGGGACGCAATATTAGACATTGAGGAGGGGTCACTGTACTTCATAAACAGCGTTAATAAGCGTACATATGTGATGCTGTATGAATGGACATTACGCAGTCTAAAAAATCTCATAACTACGAACTTTTAAAACCTAAGGATACCCTCTCTTCAAGTAAAAAGTCCGAAGACGTAATCCGCTACCAGATGAGAGCAAGAGAGAATACTTTCGTGAGTGCTTTCTATATTCGAGTTTACAGGGACATTGAAAATCAATCGGGGAAATTCACACTACTGTAGAAGTCATCGTTTACCAAAAGTGACTAACAGACGTCCAGAAAGAAGTTCCCTGAGAAGTACGGAAACCTGGAGTGACTGAAATATCTTGGGAGGATGTTGCACGATAATAAATATCATAACCCCGCCAAAGCTATGTTTTATAATCGAAAATATATTTCAAAATTTCGGTTAACATTTCACGAGGTGGAACAGATACTGTAATAACAACCTAACCGCACAAAACGATGTCATCCTTAAATTTCTTCTGACTGGCAATATCTGAGCTGGTATGAGATAGTTGCATCATTCCAAAATTAACGTAGACAAGATGCTGCGGCGGCCTCTGATTAAGTCGACGTGCACCCGGTAATCTTTCCCCGATGGAAACAAGTCCAGTAGCGTTAATTTTTCTTACTTCCAAGAGTCACGTAGGGGAAGTACTATTTCGAAAGTATTTAATAGAAATTGCTTTCCATAAGCACTTTTTAGAAAGTCGCGTCTTGTTTAGGAAATGTTTGGGGGCAAGCATTTGTTTAAGTGTTTTTTTTCTGAAAAACAGTTCGGATTCGAGTGTTAAAGGTGCGCTACTGCATGATCAAACACTTACTTCCCCTATTTCTCATAGCTTTGATCATAAAAATAGTGTCGCTTCATAACGTTCTCGTGCCTTCGAAATGCGATGTTTACTAAACACTCATAAAGAGCGGATGTAGTCGGCGGCGACTGGATGTGTTTACACTATCAGCGTTTCTAAACCGGCAACACACTTTCCACTTGACAGGAAAAAAGCGTTTAAATCATAATTTATCATTATAAAAAGAAAGTCGTGAAGTTAAGCACCTAAGCATTTACTGTCTCCTCCGTAGTGCTGAGGTCACAGTTCTTAATTGGTCGTTGGTTACCTTCAAACGGGCAGCTAAAAAACATGGGGGCGTTCGCGGACCCACGCACGGAAAGCAGCGACGGTGATTAGCATTTACTCTCGGAAAATGACGAAATCACATACCTCAAAAAGACAACATAGTAATCCGAGTAGGACTGATTGTTGAATAATTCTTCCAGATCGACCAAACTGTTTTTGCCCGATATGAACTGCTCTACCATTTCGGTGAACTGAGGAGGAAAAATGCCACAAAATTAACAAAACAAAAACGGTTAAAAGTCAACCACAATGCACGCAACATGCAACAAACGGGTCAACAAAGACAAGAACAGTTAACCTCTTAGTTCCATCATATTATCCGTACTTGATAGGCTTTTGGCAGATCTGCATAATCCTGTCTTCGTTATATCGGCCCTTGTAGCCCAACAGATCGGTAATTACAAATGAGGCTACGGTAAGAACAAACAGTTTTGGCAACAAATGTTATGTCACGCCTCTAAGCCCAGACCTTCATTTTTTCCGCATAACCAGGCGGAAGACACTGATAGAAAGCGCTAAATGAGCGAATGTGTTTTGGCTTTTGTGACACAATTCTGTGAATGTCAAAACAAAAAGCCTGAAGAAAGTCTCAATCTTGATTGGCCACGTGCACTTCGAGTTCAGTTGCATCATAATGACCGTTATCAGCTGCGAGGGTCGCTGCCTAACAAAATTTCGAATGTATGCAACTTATGGCGTCGGACATAATCACTCGCAAAGCCTCTTGTTCTACACGTGAAAGCAATAATACAAAGCCATCATCCATGATTCTGCATTTTGAAAGTGGGCGCTCTAACGCAGAAAAGGCAAGAGCAAAGAACAAGTAAGAAAACCTACCTGCTCATGAAAGTCCTCTACGGTGAACTGGGTGTATCCATTAGCAATTAGTGTATCTCTACACTTATCGCAGCACCGCATGAACCTGACAAAGGGAAGACAGTGGGCGCTAAGATGGGTTCGGAAAACGAAAATTATGTGATTATAGACACCGTGGTCCAAAAAGTTTATTTAAGCAACTTCCGGAGTGCGGCGATGACTAACTCATCAGCCTCACATTTTCTGCTGCGGTGGGTCCGCAGCAAACTGACAGAGTAAGTTTGAAGACTAGTCCAAGACTATTTCAAGACTAGCTTTCGCCGCGTTCACCCAGGTATTTTGCCTGTCACCTCAAAGCTATCGGTAGCGAGGACCGAGTTCGTGCGAGATGATATTCCAGACTATTTGGCCGGCAGGATGGAGAAAGACATGGCCGGGCCCCCTTTCGGTTCTTGAGCATAGCGCAGTTGACGGATTGAGTTCCGCGTCGAGTAACCAGTAGATCTTCATAGATCTTCAAACGCGATTTAGGGGAAAAGTGAACGTAAACACCGCTAATCAAATCCCTCCGAGCGTTGTATAGGTCTTGAGGGCACGACAGTCCGATCGTCGCTAAAAATGAGGTTTATCACCGTCCCATAAGTCCGATCTTGCAAGGAAAGAAGAGGACTTCTGCTGTATCTACCCTTCTCTCTCTCTCTCTTCCCGCAGTCACTATCTCTCCATGGCAAATCAGTGACAAGACAACCGGTAGGCGCAGACACTGAAAAAAATTAAACGGTCCCTGTAAGCACACCATACACGACCTGGTCCCCAACTTCACATGTGTCAGGCTCCTTTAAAGGTGTGCCTTGGGTCTCACAGAAGCGGGTGTTTCCCGAAGACAGCACTAATGTACCATTACAGACTGACCGTCGGTCCAGAGTAGGATCAAGATACCCCATCAGTTGGCTGTGAGAGCGGATGACGTGTGACTCAATGTTTGCTGTAAGAATCAATAAAGGATATTCAAAGAGCCTTTTGACATTTTCCGGTCCATAGTTCGGAGAAACGCACTTGTGTCAACTAAATTTTGGGTTTCTTTCAGTCGAGCTAGGGCAGGTGATTGGGCTTGTCGTCGTTTTTATCAATACTATTGCCTGACCGCCTAGCTCCAAATTTGAAATGAGTCGGATGATAATGATATTTAATTAACATAAAATTTTAGCTAGGGTAGAGCTGAGATGACTACATTAGATAGCGGTTTATGAAAAGTTTGAGTCAAAGACATGGTACAGCTGACCGCGGTTGAAGGTAATGTGTGAATGAGTCTCAAGATTTTGCTTACCTAGTCTCACTCCAGCCGTCATAAAAATTTTACATTTTCCCTCTATTCTGGCTCAATGTAGGCAAGAAGGACTAAGTGTAGTAAACGCACGTTCCCCAGAACAAAATATCAACGCATCCAAGTATGCCGACCACTATTGCAGTTATTTGCGCAGACATTTTTATGTAGTATTCCCAGGGTACAGATGACCGGACGCAAGCAACCCTTGCATTTCACACGTATTAAGAAGACAAAATGGTGGACTAACGAACTGTCCACATGTACCTGATGGGCAATGCTGTGATATGAAAATTTACTTTAGAAGCCGAGCAGATAAGACTGAATAACCCATCAAGAAAAGCATGGTCTTTTGCTTGATCTGGCAGAAAGCATAATATAGCGGAGTCTGAGGCAGACTTGTAGGGCCTTCGATGACAGAACTTAATTTAAAACTTGTCTTTAGAAGTAAATGGTCTCCCGGATAAGTAAGCAGCAGGCGAATTAGTAAGTGGTAGTTGTGTCATAGGGCCAAATACTATCCTAGAAGTTGCTAAGTGACAAGGGGATTCGGAAGGATAAAAAAAGACTCAGGTTGTGATCAAAAACCAGGGATGAGAAAGGAAAACCGGAGGTGCTACATGATGTCTATCATGCCACACATTTTAACACAAACACCCCCAGAGCAAATAGAAGAAGGAAGGAGTCAATCGGAATCGTCGGTTGAAAGCATACCGTTTCGCTTCCTCCGCTTTGTTATTCTTCAGAAAATACTCAATGAGCGCAAAACCGAACGCTCGATAACAGCAGTTCCCATCGCGTCGAACACGTCTGATGCCAACGTACAGTTCTTTGAGTAGCTGAACATGGCCAAAAAACGAAGGTTTGCTGAACACAACTCAAAGGAAAGGTCTGCCTGTAGGAAAGCATCTTAGAATACAGTCGTAAAGCCATGATAGGGCCGCGTCTGTTAGTATTGTAATGATGTACTCGAGTCGGTAATTTGCGGTGGTGACCGCAAACAACTTAGGTAGAGTTAGGTCCTGTGGTTGTCGAGAAAATTCCTAAAATTGCGGTCGGCTCTTTTCGTAAGGTCAAAATGGGCACGCAAATATTTTGCAGGTGAAGTTTCGCCATCATAAATATTATAAAAAGAAGCTAACCTGACGAATGCGAAACCATCTCAAGCGTTCGATTATGCTATTGATTAAGTAGTAGATTACGATCGTGTATAAGTAAGGAGAGGATTGTGGGAAAATAAGTACGGCATTAAGAGATTTCTCATAAACTACCCAAACAGAAAATACAGGCCGAAGAGTCCCCCTAACTTACAAAGCATAATGTAACGAAATGAAGCCAGCAATTCACAAAAATACGAGGAACGAAAAAACCTTTCCGTTCATCCTTTCTCAATGACTCCCAACACTTAAGTACTAACATTGGTTAGAATAAATCAAATTCGATCTGGCTTTGTTTTATGGTTATATCCTAAAAAACCGTATTTAAATAAATAGTTAACTCTTATAGAGGGATGAAGTGTAGGTGGGACCGATTACCTCAAGTTTCTCTAGATAAACATCGTGTCCACTGAAGTCCACAGAAAGCGTTGACAACGGCAAAACTTCTGTCACTAGCGGCCCACTTTCCTTGATCTTCAAAAACGTAAGAAACCGTACACAGACCTTCTTTTCTATTTCTTCCTGTTGGGCCTGATTAGCTTCATATAACTCAGCGGCTATGTAAAATATGCGATTTCGAAATAGGGCTAACCTAGTTGATATTTTGAAACTGCTGGGTTCTCTTTGTCTAAAAGACTAAAATTATTTGTTTATAGCCGTGTACCACGTGGATCGTCCATTGTTTAGGAAAAAGTTGAGGCACGAAGTGCTGCTGATCCAAAGCTGACGCATAGACAACAATCCAGTAAAATAACGAGGAGCGTTAAGTAAAACTATTCCAAAAATTGGTGTAGCTTTGGAACACGCATCAGATCCATGTTTTATGGTATGCACTGTCATAAAGAAAGAATCGGCAGACCAGCATGGACATGGAGTCAAATCTCTTATAAAGGGAAGAGAAAATGGCTACTAACCCAAAACCATCAACAGTTAAGTGGGAATTAAAACTACTTCAAAAGACAAAGACTTAACGAGCGGAAAAGGATATCACGGTCAACAAATAAAAAAATAAAAAGGGATGTATTTGACGAAAAAAATAATGTAACAGCGGTCGGAAATTCGAGCAATGAATGAGGAGTATTATGAAACCTGGCAGGCGTTTACATCTAAGAAATAAGTACGAACCGCGCAGTTGGTATATCGGGACTGTCACGTGCATTTAAAACCCATTTTAAAACATTGTACACGTATTAGCAGTAAAATTTCATATTCTGATCCGCGGATGTCCAGATGGTGCCCCTAATCAGAGTGAGTGCAGGGGTGGTAAGTTGCCCGTTGACCGACACACACGACACCTAACTGGCACCCAGCTCTCATCCGTGGCTACCCGATGTTGGTCCCGCTCTAGCGACCGCTCCGCGAAAACCGCCTCAGTTGGTGGGCCATAGCAGATGAGGGTAGCCGGTGTTGTCTCTGTTCCCACACTCGATGATTATGCTCTCTTCAACATTCCATCCCTCCCCCTTCCCACCTCCTCAACTTCCAAGACGTCTGACAGAGGGAGTTCCATGCAACCTTGTGGACGGGTTAGACTAACTCGGATCACTCCCCATCAAACCAAGCCGTGACCCATAACTGAGTGCGGCAGTCCACTGAGAGGCCTAAGTAGCCGTAAATAGGAAGAGCAGTGCTTTCACGCTCGCTGGGGAAGAGGCTAGAGAAGGTGTTTCAAGCAATCGTTGTGATCACGTCACCAGTACGCAAATTATGACTTGTAACTGCACCATTCACAGTCAAAACCGTGAAACAAACAACAACCATCTTCCCCATTCAGCAGGCTGTCCGCGTGATTTCGCTCACTCTAGCAACCTGAATGATAGTCCATATTTAGAAAACTGGAGGAGAAACAGGCCGGAAGGATGAGGATGCTACTCCTTCGAGAACTGGCATGTCGCAGGGTGGGCATCGCTCTCTTCATCGAGACCTGCTTCTGCGAACGAGGCGAACTGGATGGGGGGTTTCGGCTGCACCTTCATATGAGACGGCCGACCAAATGCAGAATGACGTGATACTGGTGTCAGATTTTCCACTGGATACGATATCGTGGGATATCTGTCTTGCCTGCCGCAGGACATCAACGGCCGTCCAATTAGCACACACCTGCAGTGACTCAAATCCGGGCGCACGGTAGAGAACTGAACCTCTCGCGACTACTTGTACGTGCGCGCCAACTGAATTTTTGTTTTCGCTTATTCCGGCTGTCCAAACTGTCCAAGTACCTTCGAGACTGACTCAGACGTGACATTTATGAAGGCGCTGGGCGGTTGCTCCACTATCCCACCCACTCGGACATACGTATTTCTGCGTCAGAGTGTCCTCCTGCGACTACCAACCCCTACCAACCTCTCCTCTTACAGTTCTTAGCAGAGTACAACATCATTCCAACTGCCGTTTCACCTCTTTTCTTCCGTATATAACTGAGATGTAATACTCGTCCTAGCAAGGGTCTCACTTCCACCGAAGCTGCCGCGATGTGCCTTTCTTTTCGGGGAGCCATATTCATCATGTCTTCAACGTCAACGTTTCCACAGTGACCAACTTCAACCAACTGCAATCAAGTTTTATGAAGACCCGCACATGCTCCCGGCGAACACACCGATAGTAAAAAACGGACTGCTCCTGGTGACTTCAATGTCCGTGTCGGAAGGGACCGTGTTGCCTATGAGAGTGCGTTGGATCCTCATAGATTCGGCGGGCGTAACGACAACCACAACTCGTTCTGCGAACCCACGCAGAACACTACCTCCTCATGACCAACACCTTCTTTTGCCGTCCTGTGCGAGTGAAAATGACACAGATGCGCCCACTATTGCAGTGCTCGCAGCTGCTCGACTACGGTAGCGCTATAAAGCGACCCCAGCAGAACGTGCCTGTGACAGAGGGGGTCTGCAACTCCGACGGCTGTAAAAATCACCACTTTTTCATCTCCGAGATGAGGTCCGGGCTGCAACTAGCAGGAAACCACAAGGCGGTCGACGACCGGATAAGTTTAATGCCGTCCCGCTTAATGTACTTAATCACTGTTTAGCTTTCAGCAGTCAACTGACCCGCCCGCAGGAGGACCGCAGACCCTGGATGATGATGTAACCGCAAAGATACAATGATGCCAAATACAGAAAACAATCTATTCGATCACCATGACTGTTCTTGATCACACACGCGGTCACCACCACGAAGCAGATACCAGGAATTCACTACCCAAAAAGAACAGACTTTAAATGGCTTACATCGACTGCCGGACGAATGCAAACAAGTCTGTCTACTTCCGCTCTCAATGCCTGGTACAAATAAGATTTTCGATATTCAGAACGCTTTCTTGGGTCGAAAGAAGGTGAAATGAGGATGATATGTGGATTGCAACGAAATGAAAAAAATCCCTTGACTTCACAAAGTTGACCTAGGGTTATAGCAACAAAATAGCCGTACAACTGTTCGGCTTAGACAGAATAACGCTCCTCACTGAGTAATCGCAAGTTATGCAGCGTTGGGCCGAGTACTTCCGAACCGCCCACAATCCCCCATTCACAGTCTCTGGGACGGTATTGACCGTCTCCCACTAGATAACAAGATCAACGACCTAGACCTGTCGTCTTCTCCTATCCATAAGTAATCTGCGCAGTAGATCAGATCTTGAGCGCGAAAGCCCAGAACCTGATATAGTCGAGGCCAAAGTCCGCAAGCACAGCGGTACACTGCCGATGGATAGACTTACGATTGGCGCATGATATAGACTAAATGGTATTACCGACAAGGACAAGATAGACTGGAATGGCTGACGACGACTAATAATCTAGAAATGGCCATTTCGGTCTCCCTAGTCTTTGTTGGTAATACCATTCTGCCTATATCATGCGTCCCCGTGCGGCTGCTTGTTGCGTTCAAGAGAACCCTTAAGGCACAACAGGACGAGTGGGTTTCGTAAAAACGATCGGTAAGCACCCCTCTACCAAACTTACAGCTGCTTTTCTGAAGAGGAAGCGCGAATTCACATTGAACTCTATTTTTAATACGCAGTTATCATCCATCTTTATAATGGAAAGTGGACTGCCAATTCCGCGACAACCAGGGGGGGGTCTCGCTGCTCATCGTTACTGAGATAATTATCGCTCGCATTCTCCTCAATAACCCTAGCCGGCATCTCGAACACGGACGCATTTCGAAGGACGAGTTGGAATTCCGACGATACCGCGGACCATAAACATCATCTTAGCCACTCGCCAATTCCAAGAGAAGTGACAGTAGATGTGGATCCGACTCTTACCCACCGCCTGTGAACCTGACCGAAGGCTTCGACACAGTTAATTACGATGAACTCTGGAAAGTCAGACGGAGATTTGGCTGCCTCTATCTCTTAACGTACATAATGCGTCAGTTCCACGAAGAGATGATGGTGCAGGTCACAGACAATGGGACAGTCTCATAAGCATTCGTAATAACCAGTGGGTTGGAACAGGGCTGTGTACGTGATCCCACCCACTTAGGTCTCACGTTCTCTGTCACGCCTACGGATGTCTATCGCAATGAGCGTTCCGGGATCAGCACCGTCAGCCGGACCGACAGCCCGGCTTTCAATAACCGATGAATGAAAGCTATCGTGCAAATTTTAGCAATGGCTGTTCATGAACTGCTATTTGCGGACGACCGTACATTCAATAGAATGATGGAAACAGCCATGCAGAAAAGCACGGGACTCTTCGCTTTCTATTGCGCCAAATCTGGGCTGACCGTCAACAAACATCAAACTGTTGCCATGCATCAATCAGCATCAGAGTACGAACACACCACGCCTGGCATCAACATTAGTGGACACAATTCGCAACCACATATGAGGGGCCGCGGCAGATAGTGCACAAATCTGCGGTTGCTAAAAGCCAAGTTGCGCACACGCCACCGTCCCTATGCTCACTATATAGTGGGGCACATGGAAAATATCGTCAGTGGCAACGCTCGAACTGTCACGTTATGGATGTATAGTTAAATAACACATTCCAGACCCCGACCTGGAAGCAGTGTTGATCCAGCGCTACTCCTGAGTAGCCCAGTCGTTGCTGAGGATGTCCACCGTGTGTCCCACAACATTCCACGCGCAGGGACGGTGAAGTGTGTCCAAGTAGCCTCTAGTCATAGCAGACTTATGCAGCGCCTACCGTACTGTACCCATGTCTTGAACAGAGGGAAATACTTATCTTTCGATCTGATGCATTTTCATGGCAATTTATGTGGGGGCTCCTAGAAATGATTTGCAGTCTCGGTGCGATGATCGTTCGGGCGACCTACCAGGCTGGTGGGCGACGTGAAGGTGTGGTAGCGATGAGGGCAGGTCGTGATCAAATACTTACTGACGGTAGTGGGGGCGTGGTGATGAAGGTACTGGCTGACGGTGTGTCGGGAGCGTTCTCACTGGTGACGGGGTTTAGCAAGGTGGTAATGTTAGGGGAACCTCACCGATTGTTCTTACGGAACTCACTCGTTCCGTTGTGCCTTATGGACTCTCATCTCTCGAGCCCAACCAGCAGCCGCACAGCGGCGCATGATATAGGCGGAATGATATTACCGACAAAGACAAGGGAGACTCCCTTGTCTTTGTCGGTGATATCATTCTGCCAATAAAGGTGGTAGTCTTTGTTACGGGGGTTATGGCAGGGGTGAGAGAGTTGGTGGGAGTCAATGACATCGGCCA